CCCTGAATACTAAACAAAGGCAAAATTTTCCAGGTTGTGCTCTCACCATCACAAACACCAGGGCTCCTGGTGTTTTCTCTGGTTGAAGAAGCAGTGGGTTTGGGGATTGGAGTCAGGAGAAGGGGCAGGATCCAGAGGTCTCCTGCACTCACACATCACTTAAGGGACATCTATACTGGTCAGGGCTCTGATTTCTTTAAGTGAAGTCCTTATGCAAACTTTCAAACAACACAATTACAAATGAAAGTCTCAAGGACAATGTGGGTGGGGTGGGGGCATGAGTGGGAAGGGGTGGGGGATTGAAATAGGGGGTTGAGGACAAATATGTGATACCTTAATCAATAAAGAAATTAGCCGAAACCAGTTTGGGTCAGTGGATAGAGCATCGGTCTGTGAACTGAAAGGTCCTGGGTTCGATTCCGGTCAAGGGCATGTACATTGGTTGTGGGCACATCCCCGGTAGAGGGTGTGCAGGAGGCAGCTGGTCAATGTTTCTCTCTCATTGATGTTTCTAGCTCTCTGTCCCTCTACCTTCCTCTCTGTAAAAAATCAATAAAATATATTTAAAAAAAAAATTTTTTTAAAAGTACACCAGATAAATACCTGGTGATTTCATATAGCAAAGGAAACCCTTTAAAGTGAGTTTTAATATGTTGCAGCCAGCCAAGTGTCTAAATTCTGGACTAGGGAGAATTCCTATTCATGCTTAACAAGTTTACTTTGTGAAAATATTCCTCTGCAAAATGTGAAATGTTAATTTGTTGTAATGATGGAGAAAGAATTATAATACACTTGAAAAAATTAAATCTGGTTTCCTCTGTATTTTTTATTTTAAAAATCACTTTGTAGCCGAAGCCGGTTTGGCTCAGTGGTAGAGCGTCGGTCTGCGGACTAAAAGGTCCCAGGTTCGATTCCGGTCAAGAGCATGTACATTGGTTGCGGGCACATCCCCAGTAGGGGGTGTGCAAGATGCAGCTGGTCGATGTTTCTCTCTCATCGACATTTCTAGCTATCTATCCCTTTCCCTTCCTCTCTGTAAAAAATCAATAAAATATATTTAAAAAAAATAAAAAAAATAAAAATCACTTTGTAATAAGTTTACATTACTCGTTTCCTCCTGCCTGCGGCTTTCCCAGAGGCTCTCTCCCCACACTCATCCTTTGGGTACTCAGGAAGCTTCCCTTCTTCCAGGGAGCTCTTTGTCTTGATTTCTAGCATCCCCGTAAAACCCTGTACTTCTCTTTTATTTATTTCTATTTTTTAAAAATATATTTTATTGATTTTTTTACAGAGAGGAAGAGAGAGATAGAGAATTAGAAACATCGATGAGAGAAAAACATCGATCAGATGCCTCCTGCACACACCCCACTGGGGGATGTGCCTGCAACCAAGCTACATGCCCTTGACCGGAATTGAACCTGGGACCTTTCAGTCCGCAGGCCGACGGTCTATCCACTGAGCCAAACCGGTTTTGACAGTGCACTTCTCTTTTAAAGTATATTTTTATTGATTTCAGAGAGGAAGGGAAAGGGAGAGAGAGAGAGAGAGAAACATCAATGATGAGATTCATTGGCCGGCTACCTACTGGGGATCCAGCCTGCAACTCCCGCACGTGCTCTGACAGGGAATCAAACTGTGACCTCCTGCTTCTTAGGTCCACGCTCAACCACTGAGCCACGCTGGCCCGGCAGAACCATGTACTTCTCCATCGCTGTACCTAGAGACTTTATTATAAATGTGTATTTGGTCAACCATCCTCCACTCCCTGCCAGGGAATCTGCCCCACAGAGGGGGGGACTATAACAGTACCTTTCACAGAACAGGCCCCAGTAAGTGAATCTCTGATGAAGATATTTATTACCAAAGAAAGATGTCCTTGATGTTGTTAGCTGTAAAAAGTGGTTTACAGCCCTAACTAGTTTGGCTCAGTGGACAGAGCGTCGGCCTGCAGACTGAAGGGTCCCAGGGTTGATTCTGGTCAAGGGCATGTACTTGGTTGCGGACACATCCCCAGTGGGGGGTGTGCAAGAGGCAGCTGATCGATGTTTCTCTCTCATCTTTGTTTCCAGCTCTCTATCCCTGTCCCTTCCTCTCTGTAAAAGATCAATAAAATAAAATAAAAAAGTGGTTTACTAGGCCAGAGTGAGTGAGTCCATTTATACAATGCATAAATGCATTTTAACATTTTTCTACAGTATCATCTGCATAACTACAAGTTACCAGACTAAACACAAGGAGAAATGACTAACAATAAAATCATTGCCAATGGCATCTATTGATTGCACCAGTTCAAACACAAGTGGACTTTTCCTGAAAACAAACTCAGGGTCACTAGAACATTAAAAGTATTTGGTAAATATATACACTTTGCGGGGAAAGAAAAAATTCCATTTGCTCTAATCAGTTAACTCCTCTAGGCTCTAGCTTTCTGTCCAACATCTCTACCACCTCCATGAAACCAACTTTTGGGAAACAATCTGTTAAGCTCATTCAACTGAGGGGTTCGTAGTATTTGGTTAATTTAAGTTAGTACTTTGCTGCTTGGAGATGCTGCCAAAGAAAACCTGAAGGAACTTTGAGGAAATAGGGGCTGAGTGGACGAGGGGGGGTGTAGGTATTAGTAGTGACACTTCCCAAAGTCTCAGCATCTGGGCCACAGCTCGCAGGCCTCGGGACATGCAGCTGTATCTTGGGGTTCCGAAGGAGAGATGGCAGGAGCGGTGCAGCTCAGAAAAGTATTTCTTATTCTCTCTCTGCCCGGGGACACAAGTACTGTGCCAGCGCCCCCCACAACCCACCTGGTCAGCCCCTACCCCGGGAATCGCACGGCCACGCGACCCTCAATAGAACCTGGACTGCCACTGAGGTGGCCATGAGCCCCTAGGCTGGACCTACCCGCCTGGGGCCAAGGGAGATCCGCGGAGGCCGGATTTCCGGACGAAAACAACTTGGGATGGCGAGGGACCCGGACTGGCTCTCCGGGCCGTCGCCCTCCTCCCGGCCCCACACTCCCCGACACCACCCGAGTCCGTCCCCGGCCCGGCTTCCACGTCGCCCGCCTCCGGGCTCCCGGCCCCCCCTGATCTGTCGCTTCCCCGACCTCAGCCACCGTGGACCGCGCTCACCTCTCCGGCCGCAGCGCCGCTGCCGTTGCCAGGACGACGGCTGCCCGCGGAAGGCGGAAACAGCCGAGTGAGTGACTCGGGGGCCGAGGCCGCCCGAAGCGCCACGAGAGGCCGGAAAGAGCCGAAAGTGATCGGGAACGTTCGTGCGGAGGCTTAGATTGCCCAGCGGGTTCCCGCCGGCGGCGAGCTCCAAGGTTCTACCGGGCAGTTTCCCCCCCATCTCAGCCACGGAGTCAACAACGCTAGTGGGGCCAAGAGGCCAGGGTATGCCAACCTGAGCAGAGAAGGGAGCTGGTGAAATTCTTCTAGGGGTGATAGCGTTGCGAAACCTGTTGGTATCCGCTCCTGTAGTTACACCTTTTCTACCGCTTAGGTTCTGTCAGGAGGTGGAGGAAGGCACCTTCTGAGACTGTCGGGGAGAAACGGAACGCCATCTTCTCTTGTGAATCTTATTGCTGGGTCTTCTGGACCCCAGACCGTTTCTAGGTTCTGCTTTGTCTGACCTTAAGGAAGAGGTGGTTCCAGAGTATTCCTGAGAAAAGCCAACACTTCCTTGAAGTTATTAATTTCTCACGCGCATTCAATGCTTTGGGGGACATATGGACGCCTTTGGCGAGAAAATGTCAGCCAATAACGATACGGGTTCATCCCATTGGAAACCAACCTGACTCATGGAGACAGACGACATCCCTAAAAGTATTAACAACTGCGCTCTGACCTTGTGGTTTGAAAAACAAAGCAATGTCATGCCATTAAAAAAGTTTCTAGGGCAAAAAGATCCATTGTTAAATGAAAAAAGAAAGTGTAGATACCACTGCATGAGATGCGATAGGCATCTCCAAGGAAGACTCCGAAGTTTATATTTTTAAAAAACCCACTTTCATTTATAGAATATTTTTCTTGCGTGTCTACTTAGGTGCCTTATGAACATTTTTGCCATGTCCCCTTTTTAATGAATATATGGGGGGGGGGTGACACTGGTTAACAAAACTATACAGGTTTCAGGTGTACAATTCTACAACACATCTGTGCACTGTATTGTGTGTTCACCACCCCAAGTCAAGTCTCCCTTCACCCCAATTTATCCCCCGTCTCCCTCCATCTCCGCCACCACCCCAGGATTTTTAACTAATAAATTTGTGTAAATTTATGGTATATAGCGATGTTTAGATGCACTTAGATATTGTATTATGATTTCCCACATAGCTTATTTATCACATTACTAATTGTAGTACAATATTGTGTGTATTCATTATATTGTGCATTCGATATATATAATAATATGGCTTATTAACTACTCCCTACAAGTTTGTCCTTCAACATCATTACTCTCATCCCACCCATAAACACTCGAATTTTTAAAACACTCCTTTATTTCCCTAATGGAGGAAAACGGCCTAAGTGCCCAGCACTACCTGCTTGCTAAAACAAAACTCTTAAAAAGCACACACTCAACGCAATAAAAAGTGTATTTATCTGCCTCGGTTGCACTTCCATACTTTTTTCTTTCGCGCGGGATGCTACACTCGGAGCTGGGGCGGCGTTTTCTTCTCACGCATCCGTCATACGGCCTTAGCCAATCACAGCCAGGCACTGATTCTATTGGCTGTCGTCCGACCAATCCGAAGAGACGCACCAGCCTGCAAAGCCGCAAGGCGGCGTCACAACATTACCCGCGTCGCAGACAACACCCTCCCGCCCCCGCCCAGCGTCCGTGCGTGCAAGCAAGCGCGCCCACCGATGGCCAATGGGAGCGTCCTTAGCCGGGCGCGCTCACCGAAAACTGCGGGCGTGCTCGTCCCCGGCGCTTCGCCCCGCCCCTCTCCCAGCGATCTCCGCCCGGGTCCCGCCCCGCGCTCCGCCCTTGCGGTCTCCTTCGGCCGCCGTAGCCGGAACTGCTGCTGTGCGCGGCTGGCCGGGTCTCCGGGAGGCTGAGCGGCGGCGGCAGCATCGGCTCCCGCAGCCCAGTCAGCCGCACCCCGGCTGCGGAGGGGACGTGCCGGGGCAGGCGGTGCCGGGGCAGGCGTCGCTGGTCGACTGTTTCCGAAGCGGGAGCACAACACCGGCGTAGCGGTCTTGCTGCAGTCGGGGACCGGGGCTGCCCGGCCCGGCCGGATCTGCGGGCACCCGGGAGGCCCCCGGAGGGCCCGGGAAGCCAGGCTGCTGCGAGGCATTGATGAAAAAGGTGACCGGAGGCTGGGGCTCGAGAGGGGTAGGCCGCCTCGACCGGCTGTCATGGCGATGCCAGGCTCCCTGCTTGGGTGAGGGCTGCGGAGGAGCGGCCTGTTCCCTTGCCACAGTAGTTACGCACGCGGTGCTTTGTCGGAGCGACTCCGGGGAGTCCGGACCGAGAAGGGTTGCCTTGGCAGTGAGCTTTGTGTGCAGCCAGAAATCGGTTAGAGAAGGGAAGGCATTGCTTCTTCCTTCCCGAAGCGTGACAAAAGGCGTCAAGCTGAGATTGGGCTTGAGGCGATTCCATCTCTGCAGGTTCAGGAAGTAATGTTGGAGGCTTTCCTTTAAAGGTTTTATCCTCCTGTTTTCCTTTAACCATAGGGGAAACCTCAGAAATGTGACGATATCCTTTAAATTCTGAAAAGCTCTGTCCTTTGGTGTTTAGTTTAGTGTCTTAACATTCAACCTGGCAAACAGGCAAGTTTATTCGGTTGTGGTTGATACACGCCTTGCCTGAGCCCTTGTGTTGACGGTGGGTAGCTTTCAGGCCCCTGGGAAATAGGATTCTCCACATTATAAACAAGAGGAAGGCCCTTTTGGGTCCTTTCAGATTTCTTTAAACATAAATAGAAAGGTTGAGAAGCGAATACTGAGAAGTCCTGTGCAATGAAATGCTTTACGTTTGGCTATTTGTTTTCGTTGGCAGGGTGTTTTGTTTTGTGGGCTGTTTTTTTAACCAGCACGAATTCAAATGATTTAGATCAATTACAACAAATGAAAACTGTTTAGAGATTATTTTGTGACTGAATACATCAGAGCAGGAGTAGGTATTACTATGGTTTTTACTCATTTCCAAACCTTTCTGTGAAAGGTCCTTGCCCCTGTTTACTGTATTTTGTTGCTAACCTTGATGCCTTGTTCTTCTTTCCTTTTAAATGGAAAATGTTCTCGTCCTTAGCAGTTGTGTTCAGTTTGACAAACACAGTTTGAGCATAGCATGGACACCTGTTGAGGAATCTGATTGTCTTTCTTCTTTATCGCACGTACACATTATTTCCCTGCCTATCATGTTGATAAGTACCTGATTCTCTTCGTTTATTTCTGAGTGTGTCTGTCTTCTGGGTTGCTTTTCAGAGTCATGGCATTTTATTGTTGTTGACATTTCATGTGGCAGTGGGTCACCGTGCTAATGAAGAATTTTTATTAATGGTTACCAAGAGTTTTAACACAATTGTCTTCTATCCATTTGGACCCGGACATACTGTGCCATCGCTTTCTCGGATGGCTCCATCGTGTTCCATGCAACAGGCTCCTTTGTTGCAAAAAAACCCCAAAACTTTAAATTCCTAAATCCCCGCGGCAGTACCCATCTCCCACCCTGGGAACCACGATTCCCAGAAACCCCGAGCTTATTATTCTTTATGTCTGTTTAAAAATAAGCAGGCGGACGGCCGGGCCGCCGGGCCGCCATGGAGTTCCCTGTGCACACCGGCCAGCCCGCGCCTCTCCCCTCCTGCCGGGGTGGATCCGGGCCCCTCGCTCCCACTCCAGGGCCCGCTCCGGGGGCCGGCGCGGGGGGCAGGTGCGCGGGCCAGGTGCCACGCGCGTTTGGGGGGCCGGGAGGGGTCGGGCTGGGGGGGTGGAGCGCGGGCGCCAAGGCCCAGCCGGCCAGGGCGGCCCGGGGAGCGAGGCCGACGCGCAGGCTCCTCGCCTCGCAGGCCATGAGCCGCGGCCCCGTCGGGTGAGTGGTTTTGGGCCGCGACGCCGGTACCGGGGACCCCGAACCTCGAGTCCCGGACGCGGGACCCCGGGTCCCTTTCGACCCCGACGGGCTGGGGCGGGCGCCGCGCGGGCAGGGCCATCTGGGCGCGGCCGCCGAGCTGCCGCCCGGTGCCCCCGGCGCCCCTGCGTCCTCGGCCCCGGGGTCCGGGCCGCGGGGCTCGGGGTCCGGGGTCCCGGGTCCGGGGCGGCCGGCCGGGCCGGGCGGCGGCGGGCGGGCCGGGCGAGGACCTGGAACAAACAACGGCGGCCATGTTGAGAGGGAGGCGGGCGGCTAAACTTCGCGGCGGCGGCGCCTCACCGGGGCCCCTCTCCTCCTCTCCCGCAGGATGACAGTGAAGTTGGGAGACGGCGGCGGCGGGGAGGACGGACTCAAGAGGCTGGGCAAGCGGGCTGCCGACGAGGATGCGCTGGAGGGCGAGGGCGCCGGCGGCGGGGATCCGGCCGAGGACGGCGGTGGCACAAAGAGGGACGGCAAGACCCCCCGGGGCGGCGGCGCCCCGGCCCCCGCGAGCGGCCCGCAGGCCCCGTCGCCGCCGCCCGCCTGCCCCCAGGACCAGCACCACTTCCTCCGCTCCAGCGTGCGGCCGCAGAGCAAGCGGCTCCGGAAGGACTCGGCGGGCGCCGGGGGCAGCGGCGGCAGCAGCACCAGTGGCTCCGGGCCTCGCGGGAAAGGTAGGGGGACCCCAGGCCCTTCGAGGATGTGCCCTGCGCTCTCTCACCTTCGTGCCTTCCCTGCAGCTCCTGATCCCGCTCCTGCATTTGTCCCCAATTTGGGGTTGCACTCTGGAGAAGTGCCCTGTTTCTCCTCCCAAGAGGCTGTTCCTCCCTATGTTTAAACCATGATAAAAGACAGGAAGTATCCTGTCTTTGGGCAAGTACAATAGATTCTTGAAGGTTGTTTTTTTTCCCCCCTCCTCAAAGGATCATTGATGATGCAGGCTGTTTTGTGTAGCAAACAGTAGTTTAGAAATGGAGAGAGAAAATACTGCAGCATCTTAGCCAGACCTCAGATGGTGGAGATACAACAAAGGAATGGGCTTTTGAAACTTATTTGGGGGAAGGTTGATAAGAAGCCAAAAATATTCCAGGATCTGACTTGGGCACTTTATCCTCTACTTCAAGTATTCTAGGCTCAAAAGTTATTAAGGGCATCAAGACGTGTCTTTTACGTCCTTTGAGTTTTGATGCCCTGGAAAGAATTCCCCTCTAGGGTAGGAAGTAGTGAAAACATTTGTGGCCTGATTTAAAAGAACAACAGTCGACAAAGTTTGTCAAGGTATTCTGAGGCGATTGAGAAGATTTCAGCTTTCCTAGGATCCCTAACCAAAGTAATAAAACCACATGTCAGTTTTGTTTCTGATGTGCTGGTTCTCCATTATTTTCTTTTATCCTTTTCTGTTTCAGCGTTCTGCTTTTCTTCAATTGTACAAGTGAATTGCTCTTAACATCCCTTTTGTTTCAGGCCAAATATGTAGCACTTTTGTAGATAGCAAATGTAATGTAAATTTCCAGTGAGTTTTTCATGGAAAAAACTTTCACTTAGCTCCTTGGTAGATGGTCCTGATAGTTTTAAAAAGTAAATATTTTGGAAACTAACAAGAGAACCCAAATGTGTGTCGTTAAACTTGCTTTTTCTATCTCATTCTCAATTGAAATGGCCTTACTCATTTTTTGGTAAAGAATTTTGATGTAAGTATTCTTACTTAAAGACGTAAGTAGTTTAGTTCATCCCAGAAACGAAAACTTGCCTCATAAATATAGTTTGGATGTGATAGCTGCTGATTGGTTAGGAAAATAATAACTTATTTTACTAACTTCGTTTGTTTTGTAAAAAAAAATAGCTTTTCATTCCTAGTTACAGGTGTGTCTAAGTTAAGCTCCATGAGTGCTTTCAAGAGTTTGTGGCTTCAGTCTCCCTGAATCTGGAGTCCAGTCAGAGCTCACTGCCTGTCGTCCTGGCCCTCTGACCTTGGTCTACTCACTTGGCCTCTTGAATCTGCTTTTCCATCAGAGAGGTGTCCGCACCTGTGAAATGAGGAACAGCAGCGACTGCTCCATTCTCTCAAAGTCTGGCTGCGAAGTGAGCCGAGGTGCTGGTGTGAAAGCCCTGTCACCTGTAAATGACTACGTCTCTGTGAGATGCTAAAACTTGAGTGGTTGCTATATTTCTAGCGAGCAGGTAGTTAGGGGAAGTTTGCTATCACTTGCATGGTTGGGTGTGACTTGCAAAAAGGTTTCCTGGAATAGCCTTGAATCAAGTCCTTGGTGCTTCTGTTTTTAGTTCCTGTCCCCAGATGTGTGGCTCGGAGCAGCAATCGACTTTTCTTAGTAAAATGGAAATTTGTTAGAATGTGTGCTTCTTGTAACTTATGTATTTTCCTACTTTAGCAGGCAAATGTTTCTTTAAATAAATAATAAAGCTAAGCTATACATATAATGGTGTTTTTTAGGAGAGGAGTAGGACATGTATCTCCTTTTCTTTACAGAACTCAGCCGGCCAGTTGCCCGTGGGCCCCTCTTTACAGTGCTTGAGCTTGGGCTGCCGGATCCTTTGGATCCTCCTCTCCACACCCAGCACCTCAGGGCATCCCCTCCTTATGCCTCAGGGCACCCTCTGCTCCCTGGCCTCCATTAGCAGCCAGAAAAGAAGGCCTTGTGACAACATGCTGCTAACCTTTGGAAATCATTCTTAGAGAAGCATTGGCTTACCGGATATGGAAATCTCCATTTGGGGTGGTGAGCACGGGTCATTAAGGAAATGAACAGTGTAGAAGGCCCTTGAATTCTGTCCTTGATGAAATGGTTATGAGATGCCCTAGGAGCCTAACTCCTGTTTATCTCTAGAAGACTATGGTAAAATTTCACTTAAAGTCACAACATTTATCAACGATGTTAAGTGAGAACTTTCTGTACTGGCATTTTTCTTGTATTTCTCTTCAGAAAAATATAATTCCTGTTATGATTAAGAAATGATCACAGTCTGGTCATTAGAGGTCCCTTTGGTTGATTACTTACTGCTCTTGCCAGTTTTCAGTCGTGAGAATCTTGCAGTGAGTTTGGAGAAGATTGTGGCGAAAGGGAAGTCCTCCTTGCTTTGCTTCTGTCCACACAACTTTTTGTTTTCTTTATAAAAACAGACTTTTGTCAACTTCAATGAAAAATAATTTTTTCTAGTATAATTTTGAATTGATAAAGAGAAAGTGGCTAAGATTTAGGGTCTCTGTGCCAGGCATCTTGCATCTCAGTTACTTTACTTTTGAATAGGTGCAGAAACTGAAGTTTTTGTTTAAATGACATGCTTAACCTAAACGGAATGCATGCTGCAGATGTGAAACCAATAACTCTACTTGAGGCCAAAGCAAATGTTTCTGCAGCCGTACCGTGCTGCCCAGAGTGATCCAAGAGTGCATTTGAGACTGAAAACCAGAATTCACAGATCCATGAGAACATGGGCCAGGAGACAGAGGCCCCCATGCCCTTCTCTGTTTGGCAGTTCAACTCTGAATGAACTAGTACATCTCAATTCCTTTGTCTATAAAGGGGATACCAGTGCCTGCCTCGGCAGAGCAAACACCACAACCACGTCTTTGCAACCAGGTCCTTACAAGGCCGAGCTTAATGGGCTCCCAGTCCTTCTCTATGGGAAATGCGCCTGGCTTTGGGATTGGGGGCTTCAGGCTGAGTCTGAGCAAGTGGATGGGGGAGAAGAAGGTTCTCTGCAGTGATAGCTGGTTTAGGTCCCAGGAGTTCCCTCAAGCTCCTGCCCTGTCAGTACAGTTGGGCTGAGGGCGTGCCTGAGGTGGGATAGAGCCTTCTGTTTTCATTGTGTCATGTGCCCCTTATCTGCCCCTCTTACCCCATCTCCCCAACTTTGGCTCCACTTGCAAGGGGAGCTAGTCACAAGACCTGCTGTCTCCACAACCGGGCCATGTCAGCTGACTTAACTGTGCTTGTGCTTAGGGATCATTAAGTCTCTGTACAGAATATACTTACATTTCACATAATCTTTTGCCTGCAGCTTCTGGGTGTCTTTAAAAGCTGTCTTGCCCTAGCCAGTTTGGCTCAGTGGATAGAGCATCCGCCTCGGCCTGAAGAGGACTGGGTTTGATTCCGGTCATGGCACATACCTCAGGTGCAGGCTTGATCCCTAGCTTTGGTTGGGGCACATGTGGGAGGCAGTCATTTGATGTGTCTCTTACATCGATATTTCTCTCTATCTCCCCTCCCCTTAAAACATTCTTCAGTGAGGATTAAAAACTAAAAAAAGATGTCTTATGCAATATCTCACTCTTATTTGGTCAAACTTTTTTTTTTTTTTAAATATATTTTATTGATTTTTTACAGAGAGGAAGGGAAATAGATAGAGAGCTAGAAACGTCGATGAGAGAGAAACATCGACCAGCTGCCTCTTGCACATCCCCTACTGGGGATGTGCCCGCAACCAATGTACATGCCCTTGACCGGAATCGAGCCCGGGACCCCTCAGTCCGCAGACCGACGCTCTATCGCTGAGCCAAACCGGTTTTGGCTTATTTGGTCAAACTTTGAGAGACAAACCATATGAGAAAGAGGTTTGAACCAGCAGTCAGGAGACACCTCCCCGCAGAGCTGCTGCGTGGCTGGCCCAGCTGTGGGGCAAAGGAAAAGTTGCTCAACATGCCCAAGCCTTAGGTTCCTTACTTTCAAAATGGGTCTGGTGAGATAGTGGCTTGAAGGTGTGTTCACCTTAACACTCACTGTGCAGAATGGCTTTGTCCTGTGTGTGTTCTCAGGAGAGTGTTGTGAAAGGCAGATTGCCTAAAATCAAGATAGCTCTATATCTGGTGGGCTCTGCTTAGCCTTGACTCTGGGAGCACTGGGCAGGGAGTGGTGAGAGTGCACACTCCTCCTTCCAGGTGTGGCACTGCCTGCTGTGCCTGCTGCAGTTCCACCTCTCGTCTGCACTGTCATCACTGTCACTGCCCCTTTATCAAAGCATGGGGGCCAGGCCCCAGGCAACTGGGTGGAGTATGGCCACAAATTCTTTCCAAGTTCCCGCCCTCCATACTCTGTACAGAGGAAGGCCAACACGTCCGGTGGTCACAAGAGCGCTGCGGTCTTCCTGGTTTGGTTCAGTAAATGAGGTTTAATACAGTCATGTGCAGTGGTGACTGCATGGAGCCACCATGGCCACCCAAGCAGGAATGTCAAGTTTTGCTGAAAGGTGTCAGACTGTTGGGAGAAGAGGAGGAGGAGGAGTCCATTCCCCTGACTCTGTCTAGCACCCAGTGGCACCATCCCCTGTGGTGGCTGCACACAGTGGGAGACACAATAAATAATGCCAGCACATGGTCCTGTGGTGTGACATGACTCCCTGTGCACAGTAAGTCAGGAGATCTCTGTGTGGCCCAGCCTACTTGAAAGATGGAGCTGTTCAGGACAGAGGAATATATTGGTAAACCAGAGGGTCTTAGTAAATTAGTAAGTTCAGGGGAGTACAGGTTGCATTTGCTTCCTGTGAAAGATGTGGATAGATAGTATAGGTGAGGAGATGAGGTAACATTTGAATATTGGTTTGAAGACAGCTAAATTTTCTTTTGACTTTTGACATCAAAACTAATACCTCATTGACTTTTTTTTTAATCCTCATCTAAGGATTTATATATATTTCCCCCCACTGATTTCTAGAGAAA